TATATATATATACTGGAAGAGTGATAATGTTTTTGCCTGTGTGTGCGTTTGATTGTTTGTGTTGTTTTGTCTGTTAGCAAAATATCTCATGAACCACTGAACTCATTTTAATGAAACTTTCCGAAAGCAATCATTAAGTTGACATCTACAACTGATTAATGTTTAAAATTCATACCCCTTCAAAATGGCCATCGCAGCTAATGGATCCTAGGAAACACAAAAATTGATCTAGCTCATCCAATTTTGCAGATACTGAGCTGAGATTTGGAATGATAATATATATTCTTTAAGAAAACATTGAAACCTTGGCATTAACTGTCACAGTCAACACTGTTTGTCTGTTAGTAAAATATCTCATGAACCCCTTGAGCGATAATACTAAAACTCTCAGAAAGTGACCACTGGTTGTACATCTGAAACTGATTAACGTTTGGAGTCCTTCCAATTTGACAAGGCTGCCACAGTTAACTGATCAACAATAGCTATAGCACAGGGAATTTTACAGATATGAAACTAACATTTGGTGTGCTAGTAGCCAAGCGTCTTCCCCAACACATATTTTAAGCATTAACAAATCAAGTGATGTTTTTGCTTTAAATGCACCAGATGATGCTGGTATCATTTTAGCGTGAGTTGGAAAAACGCACACATGGGCCTATCACAGGGAAGGATGTGGTTTTGTAGCTCTAAGGTCTAAGTGAATTTTTCTCATCAATCTTTTAAAAATGTGTCTCTGTACTAAATTATGCATAACCTAAACTATGCTAGAATTTTTGTAAGATCTATCACAGTTCTTAAAAGAAAAAGTAGTTTTGGGTTCATACTATCTGTGAAAGGTAATGGATTATTAAAACATGTTAAAATTAGGCAACATTAATTAAGGGTATAGAAGTTATTCAACTTAAAATATACTTCTATACTATAAGAAAAAGTATTACTATAGCATTCATGTGGAGTAATAAATGTATTTATCTCTTCCCTACTGCAACCACAACAGTATCAATTGATAAATATTCACAAATTCAATGATTCAGACATAAAAAAAACAGGTGTCAAAATTTATGACAAAAATTGATAAAAACGCTGGGAGCAAAAAGAGACCTTGTGCTCCAGTCAGTCCAGGGAAACCAGGAGGTCCAAGATCACCAAGTTGTCCCGGAGGTCCAGCAGATCCAGTTCTGCCAAGATTACCTGGAGAACCTGGAAGACCCTTTGGCCCTGTATCAGGAGATTAATTAACTCAGGTAAGACTGTAGGGACATAAATATATTGTGTTTTCCCTTTGAATGACTGATATCTTACTTGTTGTTTAAAACAGTTTGAAAACTTCAGTTTAAAGAAATATAGATTTAAATTGAAAATATATTAGCTTATTTAGGTGAGGTTAAGACAACAGTGGGTTGCTGCCTTCCTAAAACAACTCCAACCTCAAAAATGCCATGGCAGTTCATGTAAACACCAGCTAAATCTTTACATCTCTGTCATTTTTACAGAATATGGTTATTTATACAAGATTCTGTGGATATTTGCAGGAGCAAATAGTGGCGGCAGCTAGCTGTAATCACTTCCAGAACAGCCTGATACACTTCCCATAAAATAAACTGCAGTGTAAATGTTTCTAAAATATTGTGCATATAAACAACATTTTTGAGAGAATGTTTTTTTTAAAGCAACACCAGTTCTGTTTGGTGTCCAACCACTCTGTCACTCTGGAGTTGCCCACGCTGGGAGGCACCGAGCTGGAGTGGGCATACTTATTGCCCGTTACCTTGGTGCCTGTACATTGGGGTTCACCCCAGTGAATGAGAGGGCAGACTTCTGTGGTCATCATGGATTGTCCATAACGAACACCATGTTCAAGCTTAAGGGTGTCCATATGTGCTCTTGGCACCAGGACACCCTAGACCACAGTTCGATGATCAACTTTGCTGTCATCTCATCTGATCTGCTGCCACATGTTTTGGACACTTGGGTGAAGAGAGGGGCGGMGCTGTCAACTGAGCACTGGTGAGTTGGCTCCAATGGTGGGGGAGGATGCCGGTCTGACCTGGCAGACCCAAACGTATAGTGAGGGTCTGCTGGGAACGCCTGTCAAAGTCTCCCATCAGACTGAGCTTCAACTCACACCTTCGGGAGAACTTTGAACATGTTCCGGGGGAGGTGGGGGACATTGAGTCTGAGTGGGCCATGTTTCGTGCCCCCATTATTGAGGCAGCTTACCTGAGCTGTGGCAGCAAGGTTGTCGGTGCCTGTCGTGGCGGCATCCCTCAAACCCGTAGGTGGACACCAGCGGTGAGGGATGCTGTCAGGCTGAARAAGGAGTTCTATCAGGTCTTTTTGGCCTGTGGGACTGTGGAAGCAGYTGATACAGTAAGTATCAGCAGTCCAAGTGGATTACAGTTCATGTGGTCACCGAAGTAAAAATTTGAGCATGGTAGGGGTTCGGAGAGGCCATGGAAAAAGACTTCTGTACGGCTTTGAGGCGATTCTGGTCCACCATCCGGCGTCTCTGGGGGGAAAGTGGTTCACCACCAACACTATTTATGGTGGGGATGGTGCACTGCTGACCTCAACTCGGGACGCTGTGGGTCGGTGGGCAGAATATTTTGAAGACCTCCTCAATCCTACCGACACGTCTTCCCATGAGGAAGCAGAGCCTGAGGACCCTGGGTCGGACTCTCCAATCTCTGGTGCCGAGGTCACCGAGGTGGTTAAAAAGCTCCTTGGTGGCAAGGCGCCGGGGGTGGATGAGATTCGCTCTGAGTTCCTTAAGGCTCTGGATGTTGTGGGGTTGCATTGGTTGATGCAACTTTACAACATCGCGTGGAAATCGGGGGCAATTCCCCTGGATTGGCAGACCGGGGTGGTGGTCCCCTTATTTAATTCAAATTCAAATTCAAATTCAAAAATACTTTATTGATCCCAGAGGGGAATTTGGTAAAAAARKRGACCGCAGAGTGTGTTCCAACTACATGGGGATCATACTTCTAAGCCTCCCTGATGAGGTCTATTCAGGGGTCCTGGAGAGTAGGGTCCATCAGATAGTCAAATCTTGGATTCAGGAAGAGCAATGTGTGGTTCTCRTCCTGGTTGTGGAACAATGGACCAGCTCTACACCCTCAGYAGGGTCCTGGAAGGTGCATGGGAGTTCGCCCAACCAGTCTACTTGTGTTTTGTGGACTTGGAGAAGGCGTTCAACCGTGTCCCTCAGGGACTCCTGTGGAGGGTACTCCAGAAGTATGGGGTACCAGGCCCGTTGATACGGGCTGTTAGGTCCCTGTACGACCAGTGTCAGAGTTTGGTCCACAATGTAAGTCGGACTCTTTTCCAGTGAGAGATGGACTCCACCAAGGTAGCCCTTTGTCACAGATTCTGTTCATAACTTTTATGGACAGAATTTCTAGGCGCAGCCAAAGTGTTGAGGAGATTCATTTTGGTGATTTTAGGATTGCATCTCTGCTTTTTGTGGATGATATGGTCCTATTGGCTTCATCAGATCGTGATTTCCAGCTCTCACTGCAGAAGTACGCAGCTGAGTGTGAAGTTGCTAGGATGAGGAATGATTTGGATGTGCCTCCAAATCCAAGACCATGGTCTTGAGCTGGAAAATGGTACGGGGTCTTCTCTGGGTTGGGGAGGAGGTCCTGCCCTAAGTGGAGGAGTTTAAGTGTCTCTGGGTCTTGTTCACAAATGAGGGAAGGATGGAGTGGGAGATTGACAGGCSGATTGGTGCTGTGTCTGCAGTGATGCGGGCGCTGTACCGATCTGTCGTGGTAAAGCGTGGTAAATAGAGAGCTTCGCCTTCTGATTCAGCTCTCGATTTACCGGTCGGTCTATGTTCCAACCCTCATCTATGGTCACGAGCTTTGGGTAGTGACCGAAAGAACGAGATAGCACACACACGCTGTAGGGACTGTTTCTCAGCTGGCCTGGGAACGCCTTGGAATTGCCCCAGACAAGCTGGCCCAAGTGGCTGGGGAGAGGGAAGTCTGGGTCTCTCTGCTTAGGCTGTTGCCCCCACAACCTGACCCCGGATAAGCGGAAGAAAACGGACAGATGGACCGTTCTGTTTGGTTATGAAAAAAATAAAAACAAAACAGGTTTAAACAATGAAGTGGAAAAAAAAGACTCATGATAGCTGTAACTACAGACCTGGACGTCCAGAAAAGCCAGGCAGACCGGGCTTTCCAGGTCTTCCTTGTGCACCAATTTCACCAGGAAGACCCAGGTCTCCGAAAATTTGGTCAAGGTCCTCAGGTTTTTGTCCTATCACAATTCCAGGGAGACCCTTCTGTCCACGACTCCCTAAAGATGAGGAAAGAAAGAAAAAAGATGAAGTTGGTTGGGGAGAACATTGGTGTGGAACAGAGCAAAGTGAAAAACTTGATGTTTGATGGAGGGAAGTGAATATTTGTATTTATTTCATTAACAGACTTATCTTCCTACCTGGCTGTCCAGGGCGTCCATTAAATCCAGGGAAACCAGGTTCTCCAGGTGAACCCTTGATGCCAGGAAGTCCAGAATATCCCTTCTCACCAGCAATTCCTAAAAAAAAGTAAAATAATAATCTTTATTGTGTGAATGCTCATCAACTGTCCCTTTTTCATTCTTACGTTTTTTGGCACGTGACTTGTTCCACAATTTTTGTCCTATTTCAACAATTTATAAAACTTTCAGATCCAAGGACTTTCTATGACTTTTGACATTTCAGCAATTTATAAWTTTTATGGTATTTAGCTTTTTCTTTCATGTTCTTTTGTCATTGAAAATGAATGGAGCTGGTTTCAACACCCTTAAAACCTTTCAAAATATTCATTAATGTTTATCGCACTTTTTACCTTTTGTTCTGGTTCAGCTTTTTTAACTTATTTGTGCTTCTTTCAGCTTCTTTTTTTTACCCATTTTAGCTGTTTTCAGCATTTTACAGCTGTTTTCAACTTCTCACTGCTCTCTTTAATTTTTTTTGCTAAATTGTGCTTTATTCAGCTAAATTCACATTTAAGCGGTCATCTCAGCCCATTTAAGCGGCCTAAACGTGTCTGTTTAAACATGCTTTTTCAATAATGACAACAAGCTCACAAAATAAAGGTGAAGGTTACAGGTTAGTTTTTTCTGCTTGTATTAACTTCTTTTGTCTAAATTTCATCTTTTTTCATATTTTGTTTGTAAATTTCCTGTTTTTGCTTCTTGCAACTTCTTTCTGGTAGTTTCAACATTTTACTGCTCTTTAAGCAAAAAATTACCATTTTCTGCTAATTTTTGCTACATATCGCATCTCTACAGCTTTTTTGACATGTTTGCTATTTTTCTACTATTTCATTTTTGTTTTCCTACCTTTAGCAAAAGTCAGCTGTTCAAATTTAACCCACATTAACAGTTTTGCTGTTAAATCTTTTCAGCTTGATTTCAGCAACTTTCAGCAAACATCTTTCAGCTTTAAACATTCACACTGCCTTTTCACATGAAATGCAAAATCTTTAGTTGTTTTGTTGTTGTTGTTGTTGTTGTTGTTGTTGTTTTTAATGAAGACTTTTTAAACTCACTTTACCTTTGAAACCAAAATTGCCAGGGTTTCCAGGATTTCCACGGAATCCTGCCTCTCCTTTAATGCCAGGGGTTCCTGGGAAGCCTGGGAGTCCTGGGTCACCTGTGTCACCCTGTGTTGTGCCCGGACCAGGTGGTCCAGGGGGACCTGGAGGACCCTGAAAACCTGCAGCAGAGATGAGAGTGTTTTACAAAGTGAAAATGGAGGACTGAACATGAAGAGCTTAATCATAGAAACATTTTTACCATAATTTCCATCCAATCCAGGAAGGCCGGGGTCCCCCACAGGCCCAGGGATGAATATTTCTGACTGTTTACCAGGAGGTCCAGGCCGTCCAGGGAACCCAGAGAAACCAGGAGCGCCTGACACACACACAAAAAATATTCTTTAATCATAAATTTCTTTTAATAACCCTTTCTTTTCTGAAATCCACCTCACCTGGTTCTCCTGGTTGTCCCTTTGGTCCAGGGAACCCTGGCAATCCAGGGTAGGACACACCTCTTTCTCCCTTCAACCCTGGACTACCAGGTGCACCAGGACGACCCCCTATAACCGCACCTGAATTAAAACATGGCAGACATTTTAACTTCATGTTCCGGCTCATAGCTTCAATAATCCCTAAGGTGTCTCGTGGTTAGACAGATATAAAAGTCCACCAAGAGTGGCTACTAGAGAAGCTTGTCCAATATGACACTTGCCTTTATTTCCTGGAAGACCTTTAGGACCAGCGAGGCCATTAAGTCCATCCAAACCCGAAGCTCCAGGCAGACCTGGACAAACAAACATGGACCTACTACATAAGTATCCTCGTTTTAACACTTTATGGGGACTCAAAAAAGATGATTAATCTGACCTTTTACTCCTGGACCCCCGGGAAGCCCAATCAGACCAGGAAACCCATCTGTTCCTTTTCTCCCTGGGAATCCAGGCTGACCACTTGGGCCAGGGAATCCAGGGGAGCCTACAGAAAACAAGGTCCCATATGTGATTGTGCTTCAGAACAAAAAAAATAAAAAAATAAAAAAATA